GGGTGAGACTATTGCAAATGAATAATCCTTTTAGTCACATAGGGGACGGGTAAATGGACGGATGCCACTAATACCTAGTCCCACTAAAACGTTCACTTCCGAAATGAAAATTTGATAAATGAATTTTCCGTCTGGATCTCGATAGCTTTTAATTAATTTTCATTGGAATAACTTCATTACCGCAGGGAAGTACTATCGCATAATAATAATTAGGAAGCTGAAGCATAGGAATGGAAATGGTTCAACTGAACAACTCCAAGTGATGGCGGATTCCAAGGAACATTACGTAATATTGTGGATTGGACTATTCCTGTGAGTTACACCTCCGGCACCGTAATTCTCTGTTTGTACATATCAAATACCATTTCTACCCTATCGGGTCAGCACTACATTAGCTCATTTTACGAGGGCAGTAAACCCGTTGCTGAATGAGGGTCATACACGCCAACCGGAAACAGATCAGGAAAAGAGTTTTCGGACAGAAAATGCAATACTCTGATTCGGTGCTGAGATCAAATATCGAGCTATGATCACACCATCATGGTACGAAAATTGAGAGCGTGAAACGGATGTGCACGTCCAGTCACAGACTTGGTCCTGATAGAGACTAGCACAGGGAAAAAGGTGATTGATCTGGGGTATCCAATTCACATGTGAACTGGGATGTTAGGAGCGAACCGGAACTTTCCAGTACCGATATTGTGTTCATCACGGTTTCATTTGAAACGAATCCCGAACCATGATAATCGTTCACCGTGTAAGTGAAATGGTAAATCAATAGCGATTGGATACTGATAGTGAAAAGTGAAAGGGGGGCTGGGGGAGGGGGAGTACGAGAACCTGGATCAACAAAGTGCTCGAGAAGCGTATGAATCAGATTGTCCAAATAAACCCTACTTACCGACATGCAAATCCATCACCATCGTTCATGGGTGGAGGGACAGGGACGCGAGCCGGATGTAACATCCGACAGACAATGCGAACTGGACCGCTGATAACGTTGGGCGGGATCAGGAAGCGTAGGTCGGGATGTCGTTGAGCTTGGATCAGACCACCACGGGCGTCGACCAGAAACGAGACAAGGAAACTGATGGGGGCGTGATGAAGAAGCACAAGTGGATAAAGAACAACAAATGTCACATGTCATGTCATCATCAACAACAACAAAAAATCATGCGAAAAGTTGCGTGTGGGTAATTACATATACTGAAACTGATAAATCCAAGTGGAAAAGTAGACCGAAGGCAGACAATACGTGTGACCTGAAGAAAAACTGTTGTAATTTGTGTATGGATTCGATTACAAACAGCCTGAAACCCCCCGGCGTTGTGATTCCCTTTTAAGTCGAATAGAAAGTGATGGGCAAGCGCCGCGAACCGGTGATCGATCACCGACAACTGTGGGAACTAATGCAACCGACTTCTCCAACAAGCACATTGGAGTGAATCGGATCAATAGAATAAAGAACTGACAGTGTCCTTGGCCTCAGGAGAGATACAGCGAAAGCACTGAGGAGCGCCCCCTGGTTCGCATGGATGAACCGCAAAACAATCCCACAACGGGGCGTCCCGAGAATCGATAGAGTTGTTTGAAAAAATGTTATCGAGAAGAGAAGAAGCAATATGCAGAGTACTGTTTATCAACCCAAATAAATAATCAGATGACCTAGCCTTATTCCTATCAGCGTGGCTATATTTAGGTGAAGGGCGAACGGAATTCACACGGAAAAAGTGTGGATGATGTAAGGACAGAGCACGGTGTTGCCGTAACAACGGAAGTTTCGTTGTTGTTGTTTTTGGTCGTGTAAGTCGCAGAGAAAACCGATGTGTAGTGTTGTATATGTACCGGAATCAGGCACTACGGAGCTGTTTTAACAGTAATGCCACAAAATGACGCCAGCACACTCACCCAGCGGTTACCGGTTTGCGAATAATGGTCACATTTTCCGATTCCAATTCCCAATCACCGCCAACCTGTGCAGCCTCCCCGTACATCCGAGTTTCCTCCTGAAATTGAACGAAGCATGTGCTTTGTATGGTAGTGAAATCAAACGACGATACAGTTTCAATGAACAAACAAAGATGATACGAACAAAATCTTCCGATCATTTACACTGCATGGTTAAGTACACTATAATGATAACACAAAAAGATGATTGACAAAGCTTAGTTAACAATCAGGCAACCGGATCACGCCAAAATGCTGGCTTGCAAGTAGAACTTACTCTGGGAATTGGACTGTGAACAGCGGATTCGACCACAGAGGTGATTTGCGGTGAAGCGATTTCGCTGGTATTTTCATCACCTATAATTTGTAACCAAGAGAATACAAAAGCACAATACACATGGATACATTAAGTCTATCTAAATTGTGGAAATGTGAAATTTCTCAATGCAAGATGCAACCAAGGGAACAGAACCGTAAATCCGTTCCAGCAAGTACAAGATCCCCCGACAAGGACAGTGATAAGGGAATGATAAAAAAGACGGACGCTAAAATGGAGTCGAGAACCAAAAGCACAGGGAAACAGTGAGCTAGGAACCACATATTTCGGGACACGAGTGTATCACAACTGGTGACAAGTTCCGACCAGTTGAACTTAATCTCATGCGGTCTTGACTCTAAGGAGAGGGGGGGGCAGTCATAAAACAAAAGAACCGCAAGTTTCATCGAAAGGCATACGCAGTAGCTGAGTGGCATGCGCGAGGTTGCGGCAAATTGATTGAGAAAATAACAAAAGAAACAGAAAACATATTTGGCTACAACGGAAACTTTAACGGTCCTCACCCAAAACATATACACACACAAACAAACAAACGTACATGTAAGCACAAAACACTGTGCAACATGAGCAGTACGGTTACGGTGACCGAACTATCACCGACCGAGTATGGTGTGCCCGGTCGCGTGGGGCGAGTGTGCCTGTGAGCGTAACACTTGCATACCGTGTGGTATTCTCAACATTTTGTTTGTTACATAATGTGAACAAACGCTGAGTGACCTATTACCACTGACGCACACAAACCGTTCTCATGCAGTAGAGCTAAGTCTGGGAAGGTCCACAGTTATCGGAAAGGTGCAAGATCGCCACACAGTCGTAGAGTTCATATAGAACTAACAATTTGGTGTGGACCAGCAGTACAGAACCAAATCACTGAGCGAGAGAAAGGGAAACACTGACAGGGAGGGAAAACAGAACCACGCACGACCTGTCCCCATGTGTTCAACATGGAGTACGGAAATGGGACAGGAGATAGGAGGACGTAAAATCCTTTCTCGCGACATGCAAGAGAACTGCAGTGGACACTATTCACTTCGCGAACAGATGGAAGTAGGACTGAAAAAAAATAGAGCGAAGACGCACACTATCTCAAGATCACTTAGAAGAACGGGTAAGTGTCAACAGTGATTCGATGGAGTTTGGTGGTGATGCAAACGCACGGATCCACACAAAAAAGAGGCGGGCGGGAGAGGGGGGTAAGACATTCACTACACTGGTGATGCAATAGACGAGAGTGTAAACAAATAACGAAGGGGGGCGGGGGTTGCGAGCAGAGAGAGAGACAGAGATGCAGATCAAGGAGTGAACAAGCATGCAGATACACTTTGGACACAGGCCCTACCGCGTTGATCCAATGGACGTTTAGCTAATAGTTCCTGAGGGCCTGGGAATACATATACGAAACAGTAATGAATCACAAGGTGGTAGATGCCGATAATCTTATGACAATCAATGAACACAAAATACTTGGTACAATGTTTACCACACATTCGATCAGAACAAATTTATATGCTTCTAGGAAGAGAAAGTGGAACAATATGAAAATGATAAAACGTTCGAACATCGAATGGTAACATTTGGCACGGGCTGAACACGAGCAGTTTCGAAAGAAGAAATTATTCGGATAGGGAATGCACAGTGCACGCGCGATAAGGAGAAAAAGAGAACAAAAAAAGAGTGATTTGTATTCTAATTCAGCCACATGCCCCCAAAAGCCTCATTATGGTCGGAGCCGGGTGTGTGTATGTCTTGGGTTTTGGCTAATCACCTTTCCCTTGCACCTCATGAAATAGTCCCATACGACCAAGCATCTCATACAGTCTCTGCTGAGGAAGCCCTACACAATGCCTTCCCCTGGCGGAGGTGTTTTCCCACCAAAGTGAGAGGACGAAATGCCGACATCCGGGGTTATAACAGCGTTGGTGGACCACTAGTAATTCACCTCGGAGAGTTGGCCAAAATCCCTGATTCCCAACTAATCAAGATGAGGCGCACGAACCACACTCACACCTTCCCGGTTGTGGCAGTGGTCACCAGTTCCATTGGACATAGAGGTGTATTGAGTACCTTGGATGTTTGACAAACTCAAAAGGGCGTATGATCAGATGAACAAGACATCGACTCCCAATGGATTGCGGTTTCACACACCGGCCCGCTGCCTTGCGAGTAAGGCTGTAGCTAATCGAAGGCTCCGATTGCGGATTCCTCAAGAAAATTCAGCTGCCTTGACCCGGGCAACCTGGCAGTATTCCGCCCACATGCAAATCATGGAACATTTATCTTTTTAGAAAGATTCTTGTACCATGATTTGTTTGGCACACAGTCTAACGTCAGACGTATGTGAAATATATATATTATAATTCAGCTATATATTCGACCCGCATGAAGTTCGAGCGGAAAAAGGGTTGACCAAAAGATAGTCACAGAGTTCGTCTATGAAGGCACCGCATGGCCAAAGTAAGAAGCGTCGGTGATCTCAAGGAAGCTAAGGGGGCTTTAAACATGCACTCTGGTATCAATGTACCAAATTTCGACATAAGCGGAAGAGATGCAATCGTTTTTTCTATGCCCATCTCAATTACTAATATGAGAGTTCAAAGAAAGCTTGTCTAGAATTCAGAACCTGATTTGGAATGTGACCCGATGTCTGGGATTAGTGCCCTGCCACTTTGGTGGTACACAGCTTTGCTTTCGTCCGGTTTAATACTACGCCTTACCTAGAAGGGCCTTATGTGGTTCACCACTCCAAGTCCCGGGGCATAGGTTGCCGGTTTCTATCACTGAACATCAGGTCTTTGTGACAATGGGGTTTACCTGATCGGCTGTTCATCACACTAAGGTGTGTCATAAAAAACATTTATGCCACAACAAACCATAATTTCTTTGCCGTCATGGTGACACGATACCTCTGGAAGATAGGAATTTCAGCGGCTGTCTCGAAGTAGCATACAGCTAAAGTTGAAAAAAAATTCAGCACATCCATGAATGGAAATTTAATGAAACTCATAACTGGAGTGCAGTCGATAATTTGCTTCCTACATTTAAGAGCAATTTATGTTCATGTTGAACATCGGGACAGGATTGTGTCGCTCATCGATCCACATATGAAACTGTTCATCATGCTCATTTCAGTATCTCGTTCCCATGGGATTATTGACCTAGAATATTGTCTGTTGAATGCGACTACTATGGTGGCCTTGACAAACAAAAACGAGGTGGGACGAAAAATGTATGCGGAAAATAGAACCAAGATTTGTGATATATTAGCACACGCACATAGCCATCCGCAAATATGATGGCGTTGTACGCAAAAGTGCAACACTGAGAGCAGAGCAAACAACGCCACTGGTGATCACCAGTGAAATAGGGAAGTGAATATGGTCGATCACATGATCACGCCAAGCACACGAACACCCGTGTGAGTAAACACGGACCCAAGACAGTTTACTACTACTTATTCTGGACACCGTTGTCCGTATGATTCTGAAACCCGGAAACCGGAAGAGAGTATTGGATATCCAAGGCTAACGGAAAGCGCACATGATTAAGCTAGATCATTCGAACAAACAGATGCTAATCAATGTGCTAAAGGTGACTGACGACAGATCGAGGCAAAGAAGGAAAACTGTGCACACAAATACATTAGGTCAAAAGGATCGTACGATAAACTCAGTTCAGTTCTGACAACCATTAACCATGCGCTTTCGTGCGCCGGTTTTGGTTACTGTCTTTTGGTCGCCCATTTGGAAAAGAACACAGAAGAAACATTGGAATGTTGACAGCGGATTCAAGGAGAAGATAGAGAATAATTCACATAGACTGATGTTGCAACAATAATGAGTAGATGCATGAGCGTCACTGTTTGAAACACCTAGCCATATTGCCCAGTGTCCCTAACCAGCGGCGACCATGATCTCGGGGTCCCCAGCCAGGGGGCCTAACGGGACCTATGTGACCTACATGACCCAGTCTCCTGATTAGGGTTTTCATACCCTCTTACCAGGTCCTCGTTTGACCGCCCTTGGCCTTTTTTCATCCGCTACCTGCATCGGCAAACATCGCTCGATTTGGCAACCTATCTGGTGACGTGTGTAACACATGCCCCAATGAGCGTAATCTACGAAGGTCGACTACCTGCTCCAGTGGACGACCGCGGTGTTCGAACGCCGACAATCTGTTTTTATCGTGCTCCTGTACTGGCCAAGTCTCTGCTGCTGCAGCATATACTCGACCCGTCACAGGCAGCCAGTTTTCGCGACGGCGCCACAGATGTCTTCAAGTTAGAAAAGGCCAACCGAGCCTTTTGTAAACGCGCGGGCTTGTCACCTGTGACGCGTCCGCCAGGTGAAATATAGCTGCCCAGATAGCAGAATTTGTCCACTTCCCCCACAACTTATCCAGTCAAGATGAGGTTGGGGGCTGGACCAACCTAATCTGATATTAACATTTTACACTTTGAAGGTGCGAAACGCATACTGACATAGCGACACTAGCACAAAAAAACTATTTAGAAAAGCTTGCAAATTATCTGCATCTTCACTTAGTTGCACAATGTCGTCTGCATACTCTAGATCAAACAGTCTGCCATCCCGGAGTAAATCGATACTGCTATCTTCGTAGGAGGATAGGGCTGTTTCAATAATCAAATCGATCACAAAGTTAAATAGAAACGGAGAGAAGACAACCCTGACGAACACCATTTTCTGTGGTTAATTAGGGTGAAAAAGTGCCGTAAGCTAGGACTCGGCTTCGGCTATTATTGTACAGGGATTGTAATATTGAAATAAACTTCTCGGGCATACCCTTTAGAGCGAGGGAGCGCCAGAGTGTAGAGTGGTCGACCGAGTCGAAAGCCGTTGTATGATAAAGTAATGACTGGAGACAATAGTAACGCGTACGATCAGTTAGAACTGCTACAGACAACATGTGGAGACAGAACTGATGAACAGCCGAACGCGTCCCGGATGCAGTCCATTTCGATTTGTACCATTAGAGGTTACGGATTATAGAACGGCCGTTGATGGTATCAAATGGTTCGGCAAGGCATCGAGAATCGGGAAAACAATTATGTACTGTCACTCCCAGCTGGCTTGGAAAAAAAACTAGTTTTGCCGCATTTCGGACACGAATGCACGAATGGGTGAACAGTAAATCAGCAAGGAAATTAGCAAAAGTCACTACCCGACCGTCAACCGACAGAAAACGATCAGAGATTCTATACATAACGCTTGGCAATTTCGCACTAGATTAGCAGTCATATATCAACCCAATCCAAATGGAACGTACCGACGTTCTCATATTCACGAGTGTCTGAGAATAGACACCCGAGGATCACTTAGTCAGCTGATCGAAGGCGTTCTGCACACGATTGTGTGATATACAGGCTGAAAACATTTGAGCAAACGGTGGTCACATGATAATAGGGCATGCAAGTAAGCACTCACACATTCCAATCGTGTCTGTCGGAATCGGGTCACCGATCTATCTGGTGTTCTCAGGCAGGTGCCCATCGATGGAGGAAACGTGAGCTCGCTTTGGAAGCTCAAGTTGTGGCTGTTTTCGAGGATTATTATCACGATTAGTATTAAAGGATTGTAGCAAGGCGAGACCGAATGCTTTCAGCGAGAGTGCCGTTGGAATTCGGTGGATATTTGGTTCTTTTTTGAGCAATGAGAGGAGGGGGCAGCTTGGGGAACTAAGGCAACCGGCAGGCAGTGCACTATCCATGACTCAAGGTTTATGGGGCCGTCATGAGATGATTGCTTTGAGTTTCACGATCAGAGCAAACGAAGCTGTTCGTGCGAAGCCTATCGACTGGTTAACTATTCACCGATATGAATAAGGAAATCGAAAACAATCTCCAGACTGATTTGATTGCTGTCTCACGACCGGTGTAGGGTATACAAATACGATAATCAAAGTAACTGAAATCTGTCAGCCTCACTCGATTCCACGATGTATATGCACTGCAGACTGTTTCCTTACCCTATTTTTCGCATAGTGAAACGCATCCGCAACCTCTTCGATAACCGAGACACTCAGACTGATCAAACTCGGTCTAATGAATAACGCTGATCAACTGTGACGGTCTGAGTCTGTCCATCACAGAATCGTGTGAAAAAACGCTGTCGACCACCAGTGATTGAATGATTATCGTTGGGCGTTCATTCTAAGACTTACGGTACCGAATTGTCGTCCTAATAATAATGACCACCGGAGATAAATTCAACATGAATCAACAACAACAATAACCTCAATCGGCACATAAGGGCTGAAATCAATCGGAACGTGCGCAGATACACTTTGAGAATTTATATGACAGTTGAATCACGCCGAGGGCCAATGAGACGCACAGAAGATGGTCCGTTCAGATAAACAATCAGCATGGTGACTAAGCAAGCGGCTGCGAAACAGACAGGTCGATTGATCTGGTCCGCTTCGGACACACAGGGTAGTCGGCGCATACAGACGAGCGCGCAGTCTGTGAAAAGTCTCGGGTGTAAAGCGATAAAAAAGACCGGGTGTGATTACACCAACCGGGAACGTTGTGATATTGAAATCAGGTCAATAGAGAGTCGGTGAAAGAGAAATGATTCGAACAATTAAAAACCGCATGTTTGGGTGTTGCAAAAAGAGAAACAAAACAATACAAATCAACCCAAAGGTGGTGGTTATACAGAAACGATTATTTTCTCGGGCAAGGTATATCATGAAATGCCAAACAGCGCCTACGGAGAACGGCAATGAAACACTTACTCAGTGTTGAGCGCATATACTCCAACTGACCCCAAATATCATCATTTTCACCGACGGACAAATAGGTTGTATCAACACCCATACTGAAGGTGCCCGTGCGACCTGTTCAAACAAACAAAGGAAAAAAACAGAACGAGTTAATGAGAACACAAAAACTAACACATTCACAGAAGAAAATTGGTCAAAAGACTCCACTAACTCTGGTCTCAAGTTGACCTAGATAGTAAATCTAACAGTGACCTTTACCGTGCGATGATGACATCAGAAATTGTGACGAATTTGACCACGCTGAGGTCAACAGAACTCCACAAACATAATTCACGAGCCTTACCCCCAGCTCCTCCCAGTCAGTAGTATAGAACCTTTCATCGTTTTATTTACTTGAGTAACTTGTTTCTAATTTACCGACCAACCGTCATTTCAACTTATTTCATACTGCAAAGATGCATGTAACCGTAAATGCTTAAAGAGGAAGTTACTAAAATAATCATCTCCACTTCGAAATCGTTTTTGTTTTCTGACAATCATGAGAGGCATTTTAACCCCGACGAACAGAACTGGGTTTCTATATCTGATCAAAAACGAATAAGAGATGCAACTGACGAAATATGTATTACGATCAATCCACAAGAGTGACAGATTGAGCCAGTTTAGACAATGGGAAAACGCAGTAAAAGAGGCAAACATAGCCCAATAAACTTCAGCAATTTGTTGCAGACTTGTTGTCATGCGTTGAACGAATGTTCGACTAGCCATTTGCAATAAATTACTCCCGAAGCTGTTGATAGCTTAATCGCAAACCAACTTCAATCAGCAGTGAGATAAGCATAACTCTATATGGATACCAATGATGAAAAACTAAAACACTACAAAGCACACATCTACTTCAGGGTTTCATTTCAATTGGCCAAAACTTAACTTCATATTTCAGTAGATTAGACGCTGAGTGTGAGCAAGGAGTTTATTTCCCATGGAACTGTAAGTTCGTAGGTGGATTTTATCACGTCACTAGAAACAGCGTGCTGCAGTTAGTAAGGTTCCATATTCGAACCCTGATGTTGATGCCACGCCGGTTCACTATCACCCGGTTAAACACACCTTTAACCGCTGAGGTTTTGCGAAGTATTTGTTACTGAAAATGCCAGGGGCTTGGGTCACTGGTTCCAAAGCGTCAACAGTGGGACGCTGGGACTACATGGTGCAAACTTTCAACAGTTAACCACCTTAACCATAATAAAAATAACAATTTAAACTACATCAATCTGATCATAAGACATACTATTCAGATGTTTGCTGGTAACCAAGTCCACGGCTTGAGCGAATAGAAAACCGTTTCAAATCATTACGCGAAATGTCCAAGAGCCAGACGAGATTTTGCCCAAAAACAGATCTCTTCACAACTGACGATTACGCGTGTATCAAAGAGACATTAGTTGGGAGAAGGTTAACAACAGACAAAAAGACTTGGATTTGTAGACCGATAATGGTGCTTTCTGTTTCTTTGGAAAAGGATCCGATTCCGGTTTCACGAAAGCATTACCGGTTAGCCCAACTTGAATAATATACGCGTCATATCAGTATCAACGCTGATTGAGTTTCATGAAATCAGCTTAAGAACTAAACCAAGGACCCACGCGGAA